TTGTCACTTAGCCCTTTAGACAGCTCATTAATTTGATCAGTGAGTGATCGAAATGTCGCCAGCAACGAATCCATCAATGAAACATCCGCCTGCAAAGCAGAAAATGTTGCTTGGAGGATCCACGGAAACACCACAAGAGGCATCTACCCGTCCAGATTTAATACTAAATCTTTATAGTAGTGTTTTCCGCTCACTCATACAAGGTAACTTATACCTTTACATCCAGCAAACGTTTGAAAGAAGAACTCTGAGCCTCGTATTTCTTGCGAAGCCGTTCCAAAGTTTTGGTTAAAGATGCTTCCTCCTTGTTATAATCGCCAACTTCCTTCCTTACAAGTTTTACCTTACCATCCATGATCTTCCTGAAACAATTTTGACTTTTTTAATTTTTAATTTTTTTTTGAAAAGAATTAGATGAGGGAGAACAATGTTCACATGAGTGAATTCTACTACCTACATGGGAAACGCGGTGACTTAAAGGCACGGGTAGCAATCTGATCAGAACAGTTCTCTCCGAGACTGAGGTAGCAATTTCCCCAAGCACAGTAGTCGCGATATTGCTGCGACTCTCTTGTACTACAAGGCTTGCTCTCGCCACTGCGACCGCTGTCATTTTTGCTCGGTCGCAGCGTATGCGCTTTCAGCGCCTTCTCTCTTGCTCTCGTGCGTATTCCCTTTTCTTGCCTCAGCGCTTCTCGTCGCGCACTGGACACTCCGGTGGACATCGCAGCCTTTAGTTTGGAATTTTTGGAGATCCTTTTGAATTTCTCCTCTTCTAAAATCCTCTTAGCACCTCTCAATTCGTTTTAAAGCGGGATTACAATAATATAACAACAACAACCAATTCGATCGCGACCCGTGCCTTCAAACTACTGCATTACATCCACAACAACGCTGTTTCCAGTCCGGCGTTGGAACTGTTACATAATACTATCCAAGCATACGAAGCTCACTTGCACTGGTCAACATGAATGAGCGCATTTGCCAGCCGCCTCTCCTTCTCCTCTTCTTCTTTAACTTGTCGCTCTAGTCGCTCAATGTCTTCAGGTACCGCTAGGCTCATATCCAACAGCTAAACGAATTTCTACATTATGATCTCAGATGAGTAGAAGTAACGTACCTTTCCCGATAACTCAATAGCGCCGGTCTTCGAGGTAAAGCGGCGTTCACACAGCGGACAACACGAACGCTTCGTCACTTCCTCACTCCACGATTCATACAGAGTCTGAAGCAGCCAGTTTTTCAGTGCTTAAAGGATTACATTTAACAATTTTTTGGTGCACAGATGGTGTGGTGACAAGTTGCGCCACTCCCCACACGCAAGACCCAAGGGTTGAACTCCATCGCATCTGTCCTAGTCCAATCTAGTCCTTCATACTTTTTCAAACTCGCGCAGGTGAGCAAAAAATTAAAACTATTCACACCGACTGACACGGCTGAGCAAATCAATCGTGATGGAAAATCCGTCGGCAGAAAATGCTGTAATCAAAGTCGTATGTCTTGAACTTAATACAGTGAACAGAAAAAGCTTCCAATAGGCAGTTATTGAGCTCTACAATTGCTGTAAAATTTATCAAAAATGTAGAAATTTCACATCTTGAAAGCAGCTTTCCGCCTTTTTTTTCTGGCAATCGCAGAGCCGATAAGAAAAAAAAATGGTCATCAGCTTTATCCTTCACGCGTGCCCCTATAACATGCAAAACCGTTTTAAAAGCGCTCGCATCTTACGTCGGAAACTCTCCGGGTTTAGAGAAGTGTTTGGGTCATGGCTGAGTGATGGGACGAGGCGCTCGAAAAGTGGGTCAGATTTGGCTAATCGAACTTCTTCTACACGTGCTCACTCATGCAGGACCCTCATTATCTATATTTAATTTATTTACCGGTCTACTACGTCAGGGGTAAAAAAACATACAGTCAAGGAACTTTATGCAGCTGTATCGAGTGAGCTTTTGGTAACCAATTCTCTGAGATATAAAATAAGCAAACTTCTTAACGGTTTAGTTCGCAAGGAAGGGAGTCCTATTACGCGCGATTTTGAGAGCAGAAGACGCGTTTCTGACAAATTGTCTTCAACGTTTTGAGGAGCACAACCGCAGAGCTGAATCGTACACAATTCACCTTCATAATCTTACTTGATCAATGTGAAGTTTACCTCTGATATTTTCTCTCGCAATTGTTCTACTTCGCTCACAAGTTGCCTTTCACTATTGATTGCTTGCTGTAGAGCCTGACTAACTCGATCAAGATCCTTTCTTTCGTCCTCAGTTCACTTTCCATAGAATTATTAGCTTCTTCTTCAGGATCTCAATTTCGCGCCCACCGCTGCACTACAACAGTTCAACTTGAACTGAGAAAAATTAAACATAACAAAGATAAAGTGAAAACAAACCTGTTGAAAAAACAAATAAAAAAGTCGAGTCTCACTCTTTAGTGAACATATATTTCACACAATGGCAAGATGACAAACAGTTACAAATCAAAACTATTCAAAATTTATAAAACTTCAAAAATTCCTGAAACGTAAATGCTAATGTCATCCTAACTTCCTAATGCCCATACCTATCCTTACTATATATTATAATGCGCTAAGTCTGTCTGTCTGTCTGTCTGTCTGTCTGTCTGTCCGTCTGTCACGAAATTCGGTATAAAGCGAACAACAACCTACAGGGTCCAGGGTCAAGTGTGGGATGGGTGGGCCAGGTCTCGAGAAATACAAAAAACACACATCAGCTAAGCGGAGCCCCGCCCACAGTGGGCGTGGCGTGCGTCGAAATGAACTGTACCGAAGACCAAGATTTCGATTTCAGTGACAAAACGGCCTCGAAACTGGGCCAAAAAGTGGGTAAAGGTGTGCATTGGTAAGTCACATCGAATTAGGGAGACCCACCCCCGGTGGGCGGGGCGTTCTCCAAAAAAGCAGTGCTTTATGAAAAATTTCATAACTCGGTTGGGAGAAAGCCTACAGAGCAGAAAACAATTGGTGTAAGGGAGCAATGTCTAAGGTGTTTCCTGCATACATGATGGAGCGGAGGCCCGCCCACAATGGGCGGGGCGCGCTCTGAAGTGTACAGCGTTTTCTACAAGTCCTCATAATTCGGGCCGGAGACGTCTTAGTGAGCCGGAAAAAGGTGGATAGAGGTGGGTGGGGGAGTGGAGGTCAACTGTCATTGGTGGGCGGGGCATGACCAAAGTGGGCGGAGTTTGCGACGGAAAATTCATAACTCGGTTCCAAGGAAGTCCAGGAGACCGGGAAAAAGGTGGATAGAGGTGGGTGAAGAGTGGCCATTGTATCGTGGGGGCAACCAAAGTAGTGGGCGTTGCCACGAAAATTCATATAACGGGTCCAAGAAGTCCTGGAGACCGGGAAAAAGTGAATTGGTTTGTCAACGGAAGGGAGGTCAACTGCTATTGGTGGGTGGGGCGTGCACCAAAGTGGGCGGAGTTTGCGACGGAAATTCATAACTCGGTTCCAACAAGTCCCGGAGACCGGGAAAAAGGTGGATAGAGATGGGTGAAGGAGTGGAGCCCAGATGCTGTCGGTGAGTAAGCATTCCCAAAGTGGGCGGAGTTCTCCACGAGTTTTTGTAACTTGGCTCGAAGAAGTCTCGGAGACCGGCAAAAAGGAGAATAGAGGTGGGTGAAGGAGTGGAGCCCAACTGCTGTTGGTGGGCGGGGCATTTCCAAGGTGGGCGGAGTTCTCCACAAAACTTTGTGACTCGGCTGCAAGAAGTCCTGGAGACCGGGAGAGAAGTGGGCGAAGGAAAAGGAAGTGAATTTCTAATGGTGTGCGGAGGACCCAGAAGAGGTTGGCGAGGAAGATAAAGATAGGCGGGACATGCAAAAGAAATACGCGGAGTTTACCACGAGCTCCTATAAATCGGTCCGGAGGCAGTCCGAGGCTTGGAAAAAACGGACAATCGGTGGAGGAAGGAGGGCAGGTCAAAAGCCATCGGTGGATGAAGCATGGGGCAATCGGATAGAATTCAGCTTGAAAGTCAAATATTTGAAGAGCCAAATTCGAACAAACTCACTCCGCACCATCACCGCATCAATCGCTGCAGAACTGTGCTGTGCACGCAACGCGTGCGGCGCCAACTGGTAGTAATATATCCGCTTCATCATTCACAGTGTCGGTCACAAATTCCCTACTTTCAGGAGATCCGCCTGGAGAGGCCAGCCAAGTGTCCGACAACGAAATTTCGTATCTGATCCAAAGACAGCCAAGAGACCAGGAAAAATGAGTGAAGGCGTGCATTGATAAGCCAGACCGAATTAGTGAAACCCATCCTCGGTGGGCCAGCC